CCCGGCCGGCGGCGGGCCCCTGCTCACAGGCGGCGCGGCCATGCACATCCCCGCCGCTGATACCGCCAAGCCTTCCCTCTACTGCCGCGTCTTCCTGCTCGACGGGACCGAAGTGAGCGTGGACCTGCCGGTGAGTGACGGGAACCATCAGGGGCAGCTGGCACCTTGAGCCCCTCGGGACAGCACCCCCACCCCAGTGTTTCCCTCTGGGGCGCTCCTCCTTGCCGCTTTCCGGGAGTCCCTTCCCCCATCTTCTCGAGCACTCTTAACCCTGGTTCCCTGTCTGTCCTTTCCCAGGCTCTTCTAGGGGCTCATTCCTGACTCTAGCCCCCTCCTTGGCACATAGAGCCATTGGATTACGCCGCCTTTTATCCCTATCTCATCCTTTGAATCTCACCCCCCACCAGTGCGCATAGTCCCCACGTCTCGAGTCCCCGCCTTCTGCGCGAGTGACAGGTGTTTCCCTCTCACCCCCCCCCCGGTTTCGGCGGGGGTTATTGGGTGAAAAATCTTGGATAGGCACTGAGATGCCATGGGTTGACCGACGTGCCCCCTACTCGCCACCAGGCCTTGGGAAACAGCACCCTCTCCTGATGCCCAGAAGGTGCCCTAAGTTTGAGGGAGTCAGTGGGCTACTTCTCTCTTCTGATCCCTCCCTTACCCTGCCTCAACCTGGGAGCCCCATTTCATGAGGTTGGGCGACTCTGGATTGGCCTCAGACCTGACCAACTTTGTATCCGTCTCGGGCCTGGGGAGTTGGCCCCCAGGGCGTCCGCGGAGCTAGAAGCACCGGACTTTCTCCCTTGGCCAACGTGTGTGGGGCCAGCGGGGGCACCTTAGGGCGGTGTCGCCATTGTCCCTGCCACCTACACCACAGGTGGTTGCACCTCCCCCCTCGCAGAAAGCTTCCCGGGCGCTTCTCTTAGGCAGGACGTCCTGCTGTGGAAGAGTAGTCTTTCTAGGGGAATCTGATGAAATCAAGGCCACGCATTTATGGGTTACCTGCTGTGCAATGGGCACTGCGGCAGATGGTGCCCTCGGGAATCTTTGGGTGTGACTGGGGACACAGCAGTAATTGAGCTTTACATGAATGCTACAGATCATCCCTGAGGGCTTCAAGGGGGAAAAAAAAATAACATAACTCAGACTTACAAAGAAAGCATTTAGGCCTGCCAGGGTGGGGAAGTTCTTTGTATTCTGTGAGAAAACTAAGGGTTTAGAGTGGGAAAATCAGCGCCTGCCCCGGCCTGGAATGTAATACTTCTCTGTGTAGAATTAATTTGGAGACCTTGTAGGTTTCATTTGGAGACAGTTTCAATTTATGGCAATTTTCTTTTTGGGGTTATGGATATATATTTTAAGTTATATATGAAGAGACCCTTTTGAGACTTTTAAAGGAACCAACATTTCTGATGCTCAGAGCAGTTGTCTTGAAAATTGTCTTAAATCAGTAATGTTCTGAGTTTTGCCTTTCTGGCATGTATTTGGCCAGCAGAGGAGGCCTGGCAAAGGTAGGAGTGGAGAGGTGAGCAGACTGCCTCCTGAGTGGGAAGCTGGTGTTTGGAGAGAATGTGACATATTTTGCCTCTCAGATCCTTGAAAGGAATGCAGTGGTTGGGAACTTTGACAGTACTCCTGGCTGATGGGTTTCTTGTATCTTCCTTGGGGATAATTCATTTATAAAATGTATTGTTGCTGTCAGATTTGTGCAGCTGGCTTAAGTGGGGTTTCTGAGATGAAAAATGCAAACTTGAGTAAAGTGCCTGCATGGTGAACAGACCCAAACAGGTACATAAATGAACGGAAGGGAATGGGAATGCTGATAGACGGTAACCTGGAGCCCTCCTTGAGCTTGGGGGAAGGGCATAATTACAACCTCAGATTTCTTGGCTTTGATTTCATACTTGACAGAAGAGCTCACCCATCCTAGGTTTCTTTTTTCATGATGGCAGGTTTTTTGGATGTGAATCTAATGAGCCCCAGATTTTATTTATACATACACATATATGTCCATCCTGTCAAAAGAGAAATAAAAAAGCAAGTACTGCCTTTTACCACGGGAGGTCTCAGGAAGGAAGGATGGGAAAAAAAAAAATCACTCCTGAGCACGGCTGACTGATTTAACGATTTATTAGATATTCGGGCTGCACCACAGTCTCTTAGACCAGTCTGGTTAGGTCAGAGTGTTAGTTTCATAGTCGCTGGGGACCCTGACAGATTTGTAGGATGCATGCTTGTTCCTCACATCTCCTTCACCAAGCTTACGGTTTATGTGATCCTTTTTGGCATTTGGCCCCCATTTGGTCATTATTCTCCTCTTCTGTGAATTTTTACTTCCTGGGCTCTGGTTTTCCTGCTACCTGTGGACAGTTTCCCTTTGATGGTGATTGCTGTAAGCTGGATTTTTCATCTCCATTCATTCCCATGGACACTCTGTGACATTGACAGGCCAACAGTGACTGCTTTGTAATTAAACCCCTCTGTTGGTGTTAGCTTTAAGAATCCTTTTGCTCAACATAATAAAAGTGGTTGTATGTTGTAGCAAGCCTTTTTATTTGTCTTCATCAGGACACTTGTGTTCTGAGATTGTCACACAGTAACATGGTTGATATGATAGGACCAAGGCACCTCATTCAGTTCAATCAAGGTTTACTGTGAGACTCCATCCACCGTGCCTGTCACTGTGCTGTGGCCACCAAGGTGAATGAGAAGTGGCGGGCGTTGAGGCTCTTGGGAAACACACAGAAGCATGTCTTTTTCTTCTAGTATGTGGGGTGCTCTGCTGTATGCTAGGTGCTGGTAGCAGTCACATTCAGAAAGTGTACTGGGGGGCCAACAAGATGGGGGAATTGCATTGACTTCCTGAAGACTTCGACACTTGTGGGTATAGGATCTTAAATCCAGGGTCCTTCATGCATTTCAGAACAATTATTGTGTCCAGTCAGCTACTGCACACAGCCATGGCCCTATTGTTATATGAAATAAAGGAAGTAGCAGCTGTGTGACAGTCCTCCTCTGACGGAGCTTTGAGATCCCTTGTATGGTGGCAGACTGAGTTTTCTAGCACCATTGGGTATGGATAGTCAGTGGCTTCTCAGTCTTTTTTAAAGAAGAAAAGACTCTTTAAAAAACGATGTACCTTTGACATGCAGTCTAAGTAGACACACTGTGCTAGTCTGGCTTCTCACTTACCTCGTCCTGTGAACCTGAGTGCCACCCTGAACCACTCTTCTTCAGAATATTTGGCTCTCCTCTGGAGGGCACCTCCCTCACCAGTGGCCCAGTACTGCCCAGCCCTCAGGTATGGTCCAGTCAGAGCAGGGTAGGGCTTCCCCTCCGCCTCCTCTAGACACTCCTATTAATGCAGCTGAAGATCCCATCGACATGCTTGGCAGCGGCACCCTATGTTGACTCTTATTAGTTCTCTGTTGACTAAATCTCTGGCATTGCTTTCACTCTTGCGGCTGTTGCTCAGCCCTGTCTCTCCCTTTCCTTGTGCACACAGGCCTGCCACAGCTCTGCATGGAAGCTTTCAGGGTGTGTGGCTAGTTAACACTCCCACCTTGACTTGGAGTCCACTGTAGGGTATTCGGGGCAGTTGCTTCCACTGTATCTGGAATGCTACACTGACTCATGTTGTTGTGTACCATCAAGTTAGAACCAACCCATACCTGACCCTCCAGTTGTTTTCCCAGGCAGTGAATCTCACAGGAGGAGACTACCCATCTTTCTCTCACGGAGCTGGTTGACTGGTAAAGTAGTGCAAACATGGTGAGTTGCTGAGTTAGATCCATGTTTGAATCTTGTAACCTGGCTGTCCAGTCATGGACAGCTTACCCAGGCTCTGGGTATTTAGAATGGGGGTACTAGAAGGATTTAAGGAGCCTGCTTTGGTGGAGCACATGGTTAGCCGCTTGATGACTGTTAGTTACTAACTGAAAGTAGTTTGAACCCACCCAAAAGCATGTTGGTAGAAATGCCTGGTAATCAGCTTCTGACTGGTCACAGTCTTGAAAACCCTGTAGAGCCCAGCTCTATTCTTTACACATGGGGTTACCATGAGTAGTAACCAATGTAGTTGTTTTTGTGTGGGAAGATTAAATGACAGAAAGGGTATTAAAAGCCTCTGTAAATGGCAAGGGGCTGAAAGGAAGTTGGTAGGTTGTAATTTTATACACTTCTCATGCCTCTTCTTTGGCCTATGGTGAGGCTTTGGGAAAATTTCTAGTAATGAACATTAAAAAAAGAGAAAATTGATAGCCATGCCAGGCAAGCTAAACATTGCTCAGCACTTCTTAGTAAAAACTACAAGTCAGATGGAAGTTTTAAAAGTGTGTGAATAAAAAAGGCTCCTCTTTGCTGTTCCTCCCCACCCCCACTCCAACAAACAAGCAAATGGAAAAAAGTGCAGGTTCTTGGAATTTGTGTCAGGAACCTCTGTTGTAACACAAGAAGGCGTGGAATTGGAAAATATTCTAGCTAGGACATATTGCAGCCACTGCATAGATGGGAGTATTGAGGCCTGTGGCTATAAAGTGGCTTCACTTAGTAACTCAGTGAAAGAGTTGGAATGGACTCTTTGGGAATCCTGACTGCTCAGGCTTTAACATTGTGGAGGGTAGAACAAGGAGACAGTGGTACTGATGTACTAAAAAGCTGGCTGTGGGCGCAGAGGAGGTACTGCAGGTCTTTGATGTGGGTGTTGGGCCTGTGTTTTAGGGAGCCTGCCTTTTCCACAGCAGAGTGGCAGCCAGGCTAGAGGAGGGACTGCAGCCCAAATGTGCTCTTAAAGTAGTTTGGGACAAGGATGGTGAAAGCCTGGCTGGAGCCTGGTGCCTAGAAGAAAGGCAGATTTTGATAGGAGTTAAGAGGTGGAGTGAATGGAATGTATGGGAGAAAGAGGAGTTATGGAGCCCAGCGTGTCTTCACCCTCTTGTGAGAAGAAATGGAGAGCCGTATCCGAATGGAGGGGAAAGCAGCTCCTCATTTCTGGCCTTTCCTGAACTCTAGCTATATGGCCATCTTTCTCTCAGCCATCTCCAGCCTCTGAGGGCCTTGCTTGTTTCTATCCCTGCAGAGAAGGTATTGGAGAAAGGTGGCCCGCCAGGCGCAGTGCAGTCTGCCTTCACA